GTCTTTTTTGTCGAAACACCCTCATTCCCCTCCACTTCACGTCACAAAAGTTTCGCTTTACCTTAGCATTTTAAATAACAAAGTTATTTTAATAATATTAGGGATATTATTTGCAGCTTCCCTTTGTATTTACGCTTAATTGAGCAATATTGTTTGGGAAAACTAGGGATTCCATGAAAAGGAATGACTTGATTTCATGTGTTTATTATTTTATACATTTTCAGGTTTTGAAGAGGAAAGGGTCATTAATCTTTGGTCCTCTGCTGCACCCTTGTGCCCATCAAGTACATTACTTGGTAATGTGATTTTCTTAAAAAAAAAATGTTGTCTCAATTGCCAACTAACAAGTTGCATGAAAAACAATTTCATATGGAACGATATTGCTGATTTGAGAGCTTCCAGTATGCACTGCCACATGAATAAATGATGCAGATAGTGTTTATAGGCATGCTGCTTTTCTCTTATCAGGATTTAAGCTTCTTTAAAATTAAAAGCACAGAGCTCATATTTGCAGGTATTGTCTCTCGTTTTTTAGAGTTTGCTTTATGCAAAAATCATATAGAAATATTTAATATGTTAGAAAGAAATACAAATTAAACTGGTATTGCTAATTGATCATTTGCCAGACTAGAAATCTGTTGTTGCCTTGACAATAATTTATTGGCTGCACAAGACATTTTGCATGTGAATCAACAAATTCAAAGTAGTGTTACTAAGGACAATAATTAATACGTTTTTGTTTTTAATTTGACTGTATATAGTATTTAGATTTTATTCTCTCTTTTATTATAAAACAGTCTCATAAGGTCTTATCCTATGGCTCCTTATCTTTCTTTTCCTCTTTGGTTGCTTCCTCCGTTTTTTCCTCCTCTTTTTCTTCCGTCTTTTCCTTGTCTTCTTCTAACTTCTCTTTCTCTGGCTCTTCCTCTTTCTTTTGCTCTTCCATTTCTTCCTTCTTTTCCATCTCCTCCTCTTCATCTTCGTCCTCCACCACCTCTCCAGCAAAGCGCTCTATCTGAGCAATCCGCCATTTGATATCCTTTCGCATTTCTTCCTGTTCTGCCAGCAGCTTCTTCACCTTGGTCTGCATGATTTGCATCGTGTTGCAGAATCTGTCTCCCTTTTTCCTCTAGCATGGCCTTAGCATCTGGATATTCAGTCAAAGCCTCCATCAGATCATCTTTGGACAGGCAAAAGAGGTCTGAGTATCCTATGCTTCGGATATTGGCCGTTCTACGGTTCCCGGCCTTGCTGCCCTTGATGTTTAGAATGCTGATTTCTCCAAAGTAGCTTCCATCGCCAAGGACAACAAATTGAGTGACACCATCGTCAGCCACAACAGCGAGTTTGCCATCCTTTATGATGTACATCTCCCGACCAATATCGCCCTTGCGACTGATGTAGTCACCGGGACTGAAGACTTGTGGGCGAAGCTTCAACATCAACTCGATCAGCAGCCCTGCTTCACAGTCGGCAAAGTTCCGCACCTTCTTGAGGGTATCTAAGTGCACGTTCATGCCTATCTCCGCCCGTAACTTGTCTGGCAGTTACCTCAGAACCTCTCGTTCATCTTGTGCTTTCTTGTTAGTCCACAGGAAGTCAAACCACTTGATGACACATATGCATGTACTGCTTGATGTTATCGATCATGGCTTGAAACTGAGCCTGCGCCGCATTCATATTAGAGATCATTGTAGCAATGTTACCCACAATGGTGGCAAAGATCAAGACACCCACCAGGAAGTCAGCCACATGAAAGAGGAATTCAGAGTCTAGCTCTGGAGACAGCATCTCTCCGATGGTGGTGAGGGTAAGAGTGGACCAGTAGAGGCTGAAGGAATATTTTCGCATCAGCTCTCCGAACTCATCTTCTGTGAGAGCGGGATACACCCATGGATCTGATCCGAACCCAATGGCCTTGGAGAAGGATAAGTAGAGGCATGCGTTCCAGTGGATGATAATATACATGATCAAAGTGCAGATTCGGAAGATGTTGTGGTAGTTGGTCATGGTTTCTGAGATTGTGAAGAACTCAAACATGCGGTTGAGGCGGAGCAATTTGTTTATGCGGATCTCTGGGTAGTCTAACCCTAAAACGAAGTAGAAGATGTCCGTGGGTAGCATAGAGAGCATGGAGACTGTCTTTATACCGCTGAAGAAGAAGCTTTTCGTCTTTGACTAGTAAGCCCTGTTCCAGGTAACCTGGTTAAAGAAAGGTGGCATGAAAACATGACACAAATCGGTCACTAAACTTTGTCGCTTCATTAAAGAGAGACATCTGATCGCACTACTGATGTTAGATCAACATGTTCGTGCCCTGAAGCCCATGTCAGCCAAATAAAGTAGGTCAGAGGTGCAGCTCCTCAAAGCAGGCTCTATGAGTCAAAGAGACACAATTTAAAAGCTCTCAAAAGCATTACACCCATTTATCAAGCTTCCAAAATGTATATATAACTGAATATATTGCTTTCATCATATTTATTAGAGAATATGAATGACTAACGGAGACGTAAGGAAGCACACTTCAGAGGTTAATAAACAGGAGATATCTTCTATTTGTATTCTTCTCTCATCTCCTGGTATCCTCATCTTATTAAAACATGAACATTTAATTATTACCTTGCAATTATAGCTGTCCAATTGTACATGACAGGAATTGTGATTATAAGCAGCCATTGATAGTACAGGAGTCCTGCTGGGTTAATCACAAACAACTCCTTAGGCCTTGAGAAAATGAAGTTGACATGAGCAATAATCAATGGTGATAACTTTGAACTTTGGAAAATCACAGAGTAGAAATGACGGATTAAAAGTCTGATGCCAACCCCTTCTTTTTCTTTTTCTTTTTCTTTTTCTTTTTCTTTTTCTTTCTCCTTTTCCTTTTCGTTTTCCTTCTCTTTTTCGTTTTCCTTTTCTTTTCTCTTTTCTTTTTCTTTTCTTTTTCATTTTCTTTTTCTTTTTCATCCTTTTGTTTCTTCTCTGTTTTTTTTTCTTCTCTTTCTTTTCTTTTTTTTTCCCTATAAGATAAGACAGCAAAATATCTAAACATTATTTATATCCAGACTATCTCAGTTAAGAAACACGTGGTATGCTACTGTCACGTTTCACTACGGTGCGGGAGCGCGGAGCGAGGAACGAGGAGACCAGGAGTACATCAACACAGGAGATTTTAATGTCTTTAAGGGAACCAGGAAAAACACATGTAGCAGGAGAGGTTGACACATCCACAGACATTCACAATACCAGACAACCAAACTTAGAACAGGACTCAGTATAAATACACAGGACTAAAGGATGGGATGACGAGACACCTGGAACTAATGAAACAATAAACATAATTAGAACAGGAACAGGAAGAACCAAATAAAGGGCATGGAAACACATGGGGAGCAAAACACACACAAAACACGGAACAGAGTCTGACAGCTACTTCTTTCTTCTCCTTCTTTTCTTTTTTCTCCTTTTTCTTTTTCTTCTTGTCTTCCCTACAGAGAGAAAAATACTACTTATATTTAATGATCTTTGATTACTCTTCATTGTTGTTGCTGTTGTTTATGTTAAATACACGTCCTGCATTTGGAGCTGGAATTGGGTCTTCACTGTCCTCCTCTGTGTCCACTTCCATTATCGGAGACATTTGGGGTGGGACTGCAATACCTCCTGATGCAGGTACAACAGTCATGATTCCTTTTCCCCTAAAGCAAAAGGCTAAAGCAGTGATTTATAATTTACACATGTTCCCATTTGTTAAAAGTCACGAAAAAAATCTACAATGGACAAAATGTTACTCTAAGAGGACGAAAATTGCCATACATTCAGATCAAAAACTCGCCAACTGTTTTGCTTTAACCTAAATCCTGTCCCATTCTCTCTTGATCAGAAGATTCGCAGAGGCCCTTAGAATTACAGACCTTCTGTCTGGTGAAATGTAAGATGCAGTCAAATTACAGCGAGTGTTTTCAAAGAAGGAGTACGCTTGTGGTTCATTTGTTCTGTTGTGCTCTGTAATGATATCTCAGACTTGCATGACCCTGAGAAGGATTTGAAGATTAATGAGAGACTAGAGTGACAAAGACAAAGCCTCCTCCCTGCCTTCTTGAATGGTATATAATTTATACTCCCTCCAACAAAAGTTCAAAGTATTGGTGAGGCCCGTCATTTATACAATTACACTGAGAATTTTAGCAACCTGTTGTTTTTATTAATGTTTCATATTCAGAACTAATTTTATGTTCATGTTTAAATGATTTCACCAGAGTGCCTCAAGTACGCATTATGTGAATGACCACGTTTGTTTGTGGTATTTATTTAACTGTAATTTCATTGTACTTATGCTGTCGCAACATTATAATGGTGTAATTTATGTGCATGTGCTTGCTAGACTGTGAGCCATAGAGTGAGAGATTTTCCTCATGTAGTAGCATCTGCCCAGTCAGCACTCTTTCAGAGATCTGCTTTATCTTATAAAACAAGCCTGCCAGCCTTACTTTCACAGCCACTCACAGGATGTGTGTTTTGAACAGGATGAAGATGTCCACATTTTTCTTATTTTGTTGAAATATCTTCTTTTTTTTTTCCATTTAGTACTGCCCTTTGGAAGCAACAGAAGACACTTGCATGTTTCCCGGAAGACAATTTAAGTACAGTGTGTGTGTGTGTGTGTGTGTGTGACTGTCTGTCTGTCTTTAGTGACTGGTTTCTTCACACAAAACTATGTTTTGTCCATTTTTATTATTTCCAAAGTGTTACATAGTTACATTTCAGTTGATTAAAGAGTCCTTTAACTGCAGTAAGACAAAAGGCATTTTATTTTAAGAAACTGAAAGAGAAGACATATAACAATTAATGCTGTCTGCAGCAGTATCGGCTCAATTCTTACAGTGAGGTTAATAAAAATTGTCATCTGCCAGGAAACATTTTCACACACAACACAACAGGAATGTGCCACACTTTGTTCCAGCAAGCCAGTAGACACCCCCTCTGTCTAGCCAAGTCCCTGTGCTACAATGTTCAGACCATAGAGTTGTGGTCTTAATGTCAGCGATGTGACTGATTGGTTAGGATATTGGGGGCGGGGCTTGTGATAATCTCTCTTACTGCACTGGCAGAGCAGCATCAGGAGCATCAGCCACCAACACCTGTTCTGCACCAGCAGCATCAGGCCCCACCAAAGTGGTGTCGATTTCCACAGCGACTGCTGGTACCTCAGGGATGAGAGACGGAACAACAGCAGCAATGACAGGTTCAACAGGAACCTCTATGGCAACATCCATGGGTGCAATCTCGTTTACAGCAGTAGCATCAACAGTTGCAGCGGTTCCAGCAGGTTCAGGTTCGGCTCCAGCCTCAGCTGCTTCTGCACCCTCTGCTTCTTCTGCCACTTCGGCCTCATCTGAGTTCAACAGAGCAGCCGGCTGGGCAGGCTGGTAGCCGTAGGGAGGGTAAAACCCACGAAACTGTGGCTATGGCAGATAGAAAAGTGGGACGGAACTCATAAAGTGCATAATGTTTAAAAATGTGTCTTTTGTATTTTGATAAGATGAAATAACCTACAGCTCCTTCCTCATCTGATCCATCTCCTGTAGGTGCGAAAAGAGCGGGGTTGAAAAAAAAGCCCTGAAAAAAAAAGTTTAAAGATCAGTGTCAATGTAATATACTGTACTTACTGTATTTCCAAATTCAAGCACACTCTTAAAAATAAAGGTTTGTAGCAATGCAAAGTAAAACCATTTTGGGTTCTCCAAGGAACTTTTCATTGAATGGTTCTTAAAATAACCCTTTTTTCTTAGTGTCATTCAATATTTTAGCCTGAAGAACTTTTTTCCACTATAAAGAACTTTTTGTAGAATGGAAAGGTTCCATGGATGTTAAAGGTTCTTTATGGAATCATTGACACCAAACCTTTATTTTTAAGAGTGTATTACCACTCTGTAGTTTTTGCAAAAAGATTAGTAGCAAAGCCATGCTAAAAGCTACAGTGTACAGTGTACAGCTACAGACTACTACTACAATTAACAAAACTAAACAGCAATGTATAATGTGTGATTTATGTTGTACCCTAAATGATACTTCACATCATAAACAGATGCTGAAAAGAAACAAAAATCATTAAAAGAAAATTACTCAAAATATTGATAACATGTTGCTAATCTGCTGTGGTACAACATGGTATAACATGCCTTGACTGACACTGACCAAAAATAGCAATAGCATGTTGCTAACCTGCTGTGGTGCTTGAGGTGAAACTTGAGGCTGGGCCTGTAAAAAGAACAAGTATTTTCAAAAATGTTTTCAAAAGGTTATCGTTTCTCCTCAAAAACTCAAAAATGTGTATGATATATGGTTTTGATAGAATGAGAGCGGTTTACATCAGCAGGTGCGGGTGCTACGGGTGCTGCAGGTGCTGCCTGTGAGGAACACAAAATGTCATCAGTTCCATGAAACAGGTTACTTCTGAGGCATGTTCACACAGTAAAGTCTTTAAATGACATGAAGTGGTCAAATTTGTAACATACAGGCAGTTGAGCACCAGTAGGAACAGCACCAAAACCCTGCAAAAACATTGATTACATTATGTTGTTATTATTATTAAACGCCTCTAATGTAGGCCTATGTCTTTAGCGCCATTGAACTGACCTGTTGCTGCAGATGTCCTAACATTCTGTAGAGTTCCATCAACTGCAGAGCTGTGTTAGCATGACCAATAATTGCCTGCTGCAGGAGAGAAAAGACAAGTGTTATACAAAATTTTAGGCCTTATATTAATATCCATTGTCATCGACTTACAGAGGTCTTACCTCATTGCTGCCACTGTCAGGGGCCTAAAATGTACAAAACAAGAGGAAAATGTCAAAATGAAACTTAGACTTTGTTATGCTGTCTTGAACTGAGAAACGAGGACTTACAGGGGCAGCTAGTGAAGAGCCCAGCAAACACATCAAGAACGCCAGCACTTTCATATTTGCTCTTATGATCCAAAAAGAAAAACAAACAAAACTTGTTGGTGTAGAAACATTAAATACTGTCAGTACATTTTTGAAAATAAAGGTTCTTCACTGGCATTCATGGTTCCATGAAGAATCTTTAACATCAGTGGAACCTTTCCATTCTACAAAAAGTTCTTTATAGTGGAAAAACATTCTTTGGATTATTAAAATGATCTTTATATTAAGTAAAATGGTTCTTTTCAGAACAGTTCTTTCAAAGGTTCTTCAGAGAACCCAGAATGGTTTGTTTATGGCATTGCTTCATAATCATCATTCTTTTCCGAACCTCTATTTTTAAGAGTGTAACATATCCATGAGTTATAACTCTCTAGAAATGGTAAGAGCTTACCTCTTTTTGAAAATCACAAGGACAACTGGCTGGCTTCTTGGAGTTTAAAGTTGAATGCATAACTACTGAACAAGGCTGCTATATATACTTAACAGATCATGAAACAAGCCAATCATCTCTCAGCAAAGAGGGAAATCTATTTTTTGCCTTTATTCTTAAAACAAGGTTGGAATTACAACTGTTAATGACTCATTATGTATAATTATACACTGTGAAATTCTGCTTGGTGCGCAGTTCTTCAAAAAGAGAGACGAAAAATTAAATTATCTACCCGATCCTCCAGACAGGAGGGTTGTCTGTCTGTGGTGTTTGATGGTGAAGTTTGGATATATATGACTTTCAAGGGGCCCCTTTTCGCATGAGAGTGGGACTTGTGGGCGCCTGCCAAATTGATCGGTCTAATTAACACAGATCTTCACAATGAAGCTCATATTACACATTCTTCTGAACTCTTAATTACAGACTTAATGCACCATTTCTTGCTGATTCATTTGGAGATACAGTAGGTATAAATCTTTTGGCTCCTAATTGTTGTGACCACACTGACAGCTTCTTAAGTGCTGTTGCCGTCTGTGTTTTTTTACACTGTTTTCTTACTCTGTGGTTTGGAGCATTACAAGGATTGAAATGCCTTATGCTTTAGGGAACCCACATCCAGGATGTCTTCCATCTGATAAAGTGTGAACATAAAAGGTTTATAGATATCCATTTGCTGAGCTTTGCTGAAAAGATTCAGGCACATATACTCTTGCTCCCCTTCAGTCATTTTTCTAGACAAGATACATTTGAAGATGTTTCATTCATTCATTCATTGGTAGCTGTTTTTCTAGTTGTTCAATACAATATAGTTATATGTTTAAACATATAAGCTATAGCCTATATATATATATATATATATATATA